CATTTCCATTTCCCCAGATCCATCAGGCGTGTAAGCCTATCTGCAGAAAGTGTAAACGCCACGTGACTGAGCTCACAGGACAAGTGGTCCAAGAGGGAACCAGACGTTACAGACTCTGTAACGAGTGTTTGGCTGAAGCTGGCATAGACAGTATTCGCATTGACTTGGAGGCTGAAGCACCCCTTGAATTCCCACAGGATGGGGATAAGGATTCCAGGTGGCACTACGGGGAAGACAACAGATCCGATGTGGAGATTGTGGAGGATGGGTCGACTGACTTGGTCATTCAGCAAGTTGATGACAGTGAGGATGAAGCAGATGAAAAGGAAATAAAACCAAATATTAGGTAGTTGCAGTACAAGAACTGTGAATTCCAATGTAAGAGGGAGAATGTACTGGCTTGACCATAAGGCCTCCACCAGCCTGTTGTTACCGTACAGAGACACACTGGTTTCTCCTGAACAGGTCCAGCCTTGCATGTATTTATGGACATGCCGTTGAATCCATTCGGAGTTTTGTTATCAGAATACCCAGACGTGGCTTCATTAGAAATAATCCATCCTTAAATGGAAAAATAGATGAACAAGAAAACTGAAGTATGACATCAATAACTTTTTATAGTAGACAATGGGTCACTTCTCAAAACCTCTTTCAAGTGAGTGAGGTCTAAATGCTTTTTGGTTTTTTTTTTTTTTTTAAAAAAAAAAAAAAAAAAATGGATATTAATGTGGCTGATTACAGAATGATCCAACAATGTAATGCAGTCATGAGAAGGATATGGTTGTCTTATATTTTAGCTGACATTACAGATATAGTACTACCAGTGAGTAAGGAACTAGCAAGCTATTTGAAGTACTCTGTACGTGTTTTTTTTTTTTTTTTTTAAAAAAAAAAAAAAGAAAAGTCACACAGTGCTGTAAATTGCCCACCTTTTACACTTGTACAGATGTGGCTTTTATAAGTAATATCATCTGGCAATGAACAAAGTATAAATACCCCAACACCAGAATAATAAAGAAAACCTCTCTTCAGTATTGAAGTATTGAGAAAGGAAGATAATCTTCCCTGAAATTTCATGAAGTCTTCATATTATAATAAGGAAAAAAGGCAGCTAATTAAGAAAAAGTATATACAGATGTTCTAGCACATTTGTCTGGAAAAGCACTTTGTTGTAAAATTTATTAGAATAAGGAGAATCTTTAGTAGATCATTCATTCAAGACCTATTTCTTTACAAGAAAATAAACCCATGAATGCTAGTCCTAGTCAACACATCAGAGATAAAATGATTACAAATATGGATCATTAATTGATGCCAGTAGATGTTTTGTTCATTCTGAAAATTGGGAGCTCAGGCTGGGCTATGTTTTAATAAGCTCTAGTAAAATACTCTCTTTTTATTTTTCTTTTTAAACCTCTCAAAAGTGCCAGACTGACGTGACTGGCAGCCCTGAATCCGCAGCATTGTCAATGGCAGTGCCAGCTTCTCCACACCAACGTGAAGGAAACAAATCCTTACGACGTTCCTTAAGCTGTTGTTTTCTCTCTTTGTTCCCCGTTTTATTTGCCAGTAGCAGTGGCAGAACGATTTGTACAGTATATATATTATATCATTAGAAATGGAACTGATGAGATTTTCCATCTGAAACCATTGACTTCCTCTTGTTTGTATTGACCTGTACTCAATTTAAACTAATGAGTTTTATGATTGAGTCATTATCAATTTATATATTCCCAAAGTCATTTGGTCACCAAGAGAACATAACTTTAACCTTTTTCAGTCTGTACTATACGCCAACGAGAACAAGATGTAGTGGAAGGTCTAGACAGCCTATCTGTGTAATTTTACCTACAATTAGACTACAAGAGATGAGATGACTAATGGCAAAGTTTACTTCTATAACAGAACAAGCCACTTTGTTTTGTTACTTAGTGAGTTTATCTTAACCAGTGCTGCAAACAGGAGGGGCAGAACTCTGCTCCTGGGGTGCTTTTACTCTGCATTTTCTTGGACAGACCTGAGTATTAATACAGCCTTCATCCTGGGATCATTGAACTCAATGGCTATAGGCTTAGAAAACTTTTTTTTTTTCTTTTTTATGACTTCGTAAGCATGTTTGGCTGAAACCCGGGATTAATTACAGAAAAATCCCATATATATACTATATAATCTCTTTCCCAGGGACAGCTAAAAAGTCACTATTTTATTTTTATTTGTGTAAAAACTGTATAGCCTTATTAGTATCATCGTTAGCAGAGAGTGCAGCGTTTTCCTTGCAGGCTGCAGATGGCCAGCCTACGGGTCTCTTACGTGGCAGCTCCAGCGCTTCCTACTAAGTTCACAGCGTAACATGAAGTGTCCTTCCCCTCAGATGTGCGGGGCTGTCAGGAAGCAGCCTCCCTGTGTGTTCTAACATAAGTGGTATTTTATTACTCCTACAAAAATTATTGTCTATTGGCCTCGACCTGGGGAGGGGGACGGAAGCAGGGGGACTTAGAAAACTTTCTCATGACCCATATAAAACCGTGTTTTCCAAACAAGACTTACACTTGCCTGGATTTTATGTTACACTTTGGTCAGCAGTCCCCAAAACGGACTTGATGTGAAAACAGCTGGTTCATTTCTTGGAGGTTTTTACTCCTAAAATGCGTATTATTAAATGGCTAAGAAATATTCCTGAGCAACCTTAACTAAATCAACTATAGAACAAAGAAATACAGAAAAGAATATGGAATGACTTCGATCAAATTTCAAGAGAAAATGCTTGCTGAAATCAAATTTAATAGATTTTTCCATTTCCCTTTACATTAAACCGTATGCACAATAAATTGTAGGTATGAGTGCCTGCTGTCCCAGAATCCAGAGTGGCTGGGATTAGTCTGTGTGTGTGTGTGTTTGGGGATGGATTAAGGGGAGGGGAAATAAAGTGTCACTCTAGGCCTGAAATCTTAACTGCCAGCTGTAAAGGTGAGACTATGAAGTGTTTCTGTTCACTTGGGGATGTTTTTGGAAGCAAAGGGATTTTGGGATCAATACTCAATCTAATTAGATACTGTAAAACTAAGAATACTGAGGACCAGATGCTTCAGAAAAAGATGTGAAGTGGTATAATGAGAAAATGGAACAATCTTTCCTTATGAAGACATTTACTCTTTAAATATAGGCAGATTAATTGTTGATTTGCCTGGCAAACAAGGGTTTTCACTGTTTTTATGCGTTATTATTATCCTCAGTAGCATAACTAGATATCTGTAGTCATTTTAAAATTACCTTATTAAGCTTGGAGTTTTAGTTCAAGACTGCAATTCCCACAGATCAATTATGTTTTGTATTTTAAAAATGTTACCATTTTTACATTTGTTGCCTTAATTTCAGTTGTTGTTCCTTATTTTTGTATTGCAAGACAAGATAAATGTTAAGTGCCTTATATTTTCGATGTCGTTCATTTTACATAGCCAGTCATGTATTTTGCTTGTTTTTCTCTAAATGAAATCTGATTTGTTTTCTTTTCATCTTGCATTGCCTCTGATACCTGTCTTCTTCATCCTGTTGGGATCACACACCGCTCATTAGCAGAAGTAACATTTTTGTGCTTTTCAAGGAGGAAAGCAAAGACCATATAGGGTTGTTCCCACAGAATTTAATTTACTTAACAATAACTGATTTGAATATGTTGCTTTTCGAACTTTGCCAAGTCACGATTAGGACACAAGTATTTTATCTTTAAATGCTTGAGACAGCTGTATAGAACTGCACTGAATTCTGCTAGTATTGATCCATTCAGATTGTTTCTGTCTGTTTCTGCACATCCAGACATCTGGATGTGCACATTTCTACCTGCCACATAAAACCATGAGTTTTGTGATATTTGCTTAGTTTTTCTCTGTCATGTCATACCCAAATTTTTCTTTTTGTTTTCCATTTCCATTTGTTTCCATTTTGTTTTCCAAACTTCTGTACTTCCTATCCCCAAAAAATGACACTAGTCCTTATCTTAAAGGTTCAGCTTTTGGTTGTTGTTTTTTCTTTCCCCAAATGAATAATTAAACAAAAAGCAGACCCCAAAAAACCTCAGAATTAACCTCCTTCTCCAACCTTTTGGTATGTATTCTATTCCAGTTCTTAAGAATGGGCATAAAAAAACCAAAAATATTGACTTAGTGTGAACTTTGAAAATATCTGTAAGCCCGCAGATCTCTAGCACAGGACTGACGCTGACTGCTACATGTATGATCATTCCTTTACTCCTGGTTCTTCAGAAGAAATACTCCATCCTCCAGGACACTGGGATCCCTCTCAATTTTTCAATGATAAAATCTGTTGGATATAAAATTATGGAATACTACATTTCTTCCCTGAAGCATCTGGTCACTGTGAGAGGCTATCCCATTGCCTAGCCATGCCAATGTCTACCTCTCTTGTATTTTGGTCTCCAGTCTGCAGAAATACTTGGCTTTGAACTTCAGATAGCCTACACAGGGGCTAACAGCACTATCTTCAGCCCCATTTATTATTTAAATGGACCTTGATTTAGCTGAAAAAATGCCTGACCTACCATCTGGCTACAGCTGAGTCAATGAGTGCCCAGATCCCAGGATCCCCCTCTGACAATCATTAGCATCTGTCAGCATAACAGCAATGCCATATAGTTGAATGTTTATCTAAAACCTTAACTGCTGAGGGTGAGCAGAGTCGAGATTTGCATTGAGGATTACAGCTAAACTAAACTGGTTTAGTTGAATTTATCCTAAAAATAGAGACTTTAAAAATTATATTTTAATCAAAGCCTTGAGGCTAAAGAGAGTAGCAGCAGTCAGACTGGAATAAGCACATGTGTTGAGGGTTTATTTAATGAGTTTACAAATTCATAAGGAACTACTTCAGTGAGCTGCTGAAGTAGTGTGATCTGGTCAAGCTGGCACTGGGGATTTCTAACCATTTGCAAGGTATACTGATGTAAATTATGATCCCAAAATGGTCCAAATAGTTAATTCTGTATTGCTTTTATTGTTTCTACACAAACAAGCACAGCAGAATTTTCATAGTTCAATATTCTAGTACAGGCATTCCAACACATTCCAACAATCACGTCTTGATTGTTTTGGAACATCTCAGGAAAGCCATAAGTCAATTAGAAGGTTACTATTAGTTGGAAGGCGACTTGTATGGGAATGAAATAGAAGAAAATTTCTCTAATTCTGGCCCAAAGGTTGAATTTTGAAGAAAAGGATCTTATAATGATCCAGTCCTTGCCTCCAGACTTTCAGTGTACTTTTCCCATCAGGTATAAATCTGTACCAGCAGTCTGTATGGCTGTTGAGTGATGGGTATAATTTTAAGTTCTCCACAACACTCTGACTTGACAATTTTTACTGTGCAAATGGGAACTGTTCTTTTACCATGATCTGATGTACCAGATGACCCACAGAATTTCTTTCTCAAAATCATTCAATGATCTTGAGGAACAAGACTGAATGTGTCTCATCTTCTGACAGGCAGAAGACTGAAAGTGTCTTGTCTTCTAATGGGCGTCCTGATTTGATTTTCTTTTCCCACAGAGAAGGGGGAAAAAAAGGACAATCTGTCGTGTGGCACTCCCACTTGCAGTACTTTGGTTTAAGATTATCTACACTGTTTGAATACAAAACTTCCCCATTACAAAAGAATACCGCTATATTAAGTAACGTAATATATCCTGTGCCACAGAGTTACAAATATTTCCCATTCAGGTGGGAAATACTCCTTGCATATACAGAGATCTCTCTCCTGCCGTTAACAATAGCGGTGCATTGTCTGCGGTACGGCAGTGGGCCTCCCGGGCAGCATGTGGGTGTGGGAAGAGGCGAGCAGCCCCGTCCGCAGGGCGATGAGGCGGAGGAAGCCGCTGGGCTGCGCCTGCAATCGGTGCGTTGCCCCTTTAATTGTGTCCCCAGCCCTCGGGCGTCTCTGTCCAACGCCCACGTCAGCAAATACCTTTTGTTTCTCTCACGTTCGGGCTTCCAGGGCTCGGGGCTGCGGGACCCGCGCGTCGCCTTCAGCCAGCGCCAGCCCCGACGCGGGGCCGGGGACCCCGCATCCACCGCCCGCTCCGCTCCGCTCCTCTCGGCTCGGCGGCAGCCGCCCGCAGGACCCAGCCGGTGAGCGGGGGTTGTGCTGTACATCGCTAACTCGGACCGGGCGTCGGGGCTGGAGGCGGCTGCGAGCGGGCTGCTGCGCGGACGTCCCCCGGGCTCCGCAGTCCCCGGGAGCGGCGGGGGCCGTGCGCGGCGGCCCGGCGGCAGCTGCCCCTGGGAGCCGGGGGTTCCTGGGGCTGCACAGCGTCCTCCGCGGGCGCCATTTGCAGCCCCGGGCGCGGCAACAAAGGGCTGCGCGGCGAGAGGGGCCGGGGCCGGGGCGC